GCTGAGGTACTCAAGGCTTTGTTTGTCTCTGTATTCACGGACAAGGTCAGCTCCCAGACTGATGTGCTAAGTGACACAACATGGGACAAAGATGGACAGTCCTTTCTGGGGAAAGAACAAGTTAGGAACTATTTAGAAAAGCTAAACATACATAAATCCATGGGTCCGGATTGAATACATCTGAAGGTACTGAGGGAGTTGGCAGATGTTATTTAGGAGCCTTTGGCCATTATCTGTGAAAAATCATGGAGATCAGGAGAGATCCCGGATGATTGGAAATAGGCAAATGTAGTGCCCATTTTTAAGAAAGGGAAGAAAGGGACGATCCAGGGAACTATAGGCCAGTCAGTCTTACCTCACTTCCTGGAAAAATCATGGAGGGGATCCTCAAGGAATCCATTTTGAAGCACTTGGAAGAGGGGATGGTGGTCAGGAACAGCATGGATTCATGAAGGGCAAGATGTGCCTGACCAATCTGATTAGCTTCTATGATGAGGTAACTGGCTCTGTGGATATGGGGAAGTCAGTGGATGTGATATACCTTGACTTTAGCAAAGCTTTTGACATGGTCTCCCACAATATTCTTGCCAGCAAGTTAAGGGAATGTGGATTGGATAAATGGACGGTAAGATGGATAGAAAGCTGGCTAGAAGGTCGGGCCCAGCGGGTAATAATCAACGGCTCGCTGTCAGGATGGCGGTCGGTTTCTAGTGGAGTGACCCAAGGTTTGGTTGTGGGACCGGTTTTGTTCAACGTCTTTACTAATGACCTGGATGAGGGGATGGATTGTACCCTCAGCAAGTTTGCAGATGACACTAAGCTAGGGAGAGAGAGAGAGATGCTGGAGGACAGGGATAAAGTCTAGCGTGACTTAGACAAATTGCATCTGACGAAGTGGGTCTTCGCCCACGAAAGCTTATGCTCCTACACTGCAATTAGTCTATAAGGTGCCACAGGATTCCTCGCCGCTTTTTTAGACAAATTGGAGGATTGGGCCACAAGAAATCTGATGAGGTTCAATGAGGACAAGTGTAGAGTCCTGCACTTGGGAAGGAAGAATCCCAAACATTGTTACAGGCTGGGGACCAACTGGCTAAGTAGCAGTTCTGTAGAAAAGGAATTGGGTTACAGTGGATGAGAAGCTGGATATGAGTCAACAGTGTGCCCTTGTAGCCAAGAAGGCTAATGGCATATTAGATTGCATTAAGAAGAGCATTGCCAGTAGATCCAGAGGTGGGATTATTCCTATTTATTCGGCTCTGGTGAAGCCACATCTGGAGTATTGTGTCCAGTTCTGGGCCCCCCGCTATAGAAAGGATGTGGACGCCCTGGAGAGGGTCCAGCGGAGGGCAACCAAAATGATTAGGGGGTTGGAGCATATGACCTACAAGGAGCAGCTGAGAGAGTTGGGTCTATTTAGTCTGCAGAAGAGAAGAGTGAGGGGGGATTTGATAGCAGCCTTCAACTTCCTGGAGGGACGTTCCAAAGAGGATGGAGAGAGGCTGTTCTCAGTGGTGACAGATGGTAGAACACAGAGCAATGGTCTCAGTTTGCGGTGGGGAGAGTTCCAGGTTGGATATTAGGAAAAACTATTTCCCTAGGAGGGTGGTGAAGCACTGGGATGGGTTACCTAGGGAAGTAGTGGAGTCTCCATCCCTAGAGGTGTTTAAGTCTCGGGTTGACAACGCCCCGGCCGGGTTGATTTAATTGGGATTGGCCCTGCCTTGAGCAGGGGGCTGGACTTGATGGCCTTCTAAAGTCTCTCCCAGCTCTATAATTGTATGATAGGAATGTGTCCTATTTTCAAGCCCATTTCAGACAGAACAGGTGACTAAAAGCCCAGTTTCTCCTTTTGGAGATCCTTACCTCTCTGCTGCTACTAACCTAGTCACAGTTTGTCTCTTCCTGCTTCTCCTGCCCCTGAAACCTTACCTCAACAGGGGAGGAGTTTAAAAAGTTCTGAGGCAGCCCTTTATTGGATTCAGCTGATCCTACTTGGCTTGTGGTGACTCCTCCTCAGCTGATAGGGAAGAGGGCCTTTAGTGTTCTAGAACTTTGCATACCCTCTTGCAGCTGACTGGCCTAGCTTTTGTCACAATATATATACACACATACAATGTCACCTTACCTATCCGTGCACACCTTTCCCAAAGATTGTGCTGGCTAGTGTAACGTGTATTCAGTAGAAACCTTACATCAGGGCTACTCAACTTTGGAAGCCTTTGCAACTTAAGTGTGGTTGCATATACATGCAAATATATATACAAATCCACGCAAATAGCTTATTTCATACTGATGGGCATGAATAAGTGTTCCACCTGCAGGCTGCCCGTTGAGTCTCATGTAAACCCAAACTGCATTGCAAACAAACGGGCTGCGGGCTGCATGTTGAGTAGCCCTGCCATACAAGATGCTCTTTGGTGAACTAGAATGTAAATATCAGACCCAGGGAATCCCTATAACTAAGGCTACATTTATGTCACAGAGCTCACAAAAATCATGGAATGCATGACCTCTGATGTTTTCTGCATGGGGCTGCTGTTGGCAGTCAGAGGGGTGGCAGGCAACACCCTTGCATGGGGAGGAGGGGATGAGGTGAGCAGCTTGGGGTGTCCTGTTTTCTCTTTGGGAAATATGGTCTCTTTGCAGCTCCCAATTGCTCTGGGTAGAGCCCAGTTCCCAGCCACCATAGTAGTGGGGGAAACCAGGGAGCCAGAGGTCACAGCTTTCATGATTTTTTGTTGAATGCCTATGGCCCATCCATGATTTTCACTAAAAATGCCCATGACAAAATCCTAGCCTTATCTATAACTCATATGCACTGCAGTGCACTCTGCCAGTTGGCATCAAGAGGGCATGGATCATAGCTGTGAATTGCCTTTAGGACAGTTACACAGCTTCCAAGTGACATGTGGTAGAACAGGGGATTTGGGTTGCTTTCCTGCCTTTGCTACTTTGTATCTTTAGGCCAGTCCCATCACTCATTTATATCAGTGAGGTCTTTCCATTGGTTTTAATAGGAGATTAATCAAGCCCTTTTGGAACTTTAGTAACTCAATTTCCTCAAGTGACTAGTTTCCTCAATTTCCTTATCTGTGAAATGGGCATGATCTTATATATGTATTCAACAGGGGTGGTAGGAGATCTTTCAGTGAAAAGCATTACAGAAATAGGAATCGTGCTCCCAACTTCACAATCTCAAGGGAGCACCAGGTGATCCAGGCTTTGTGCACAGCGACCCGTATCATCACAAGTAGGCTGTTGGAGCTCCCCCAGCTGATGACTGACCCCAGAAATCCCTTTCAAAGAGGGGGCAGAAGAGTAGCTGTAACACCCACTCCTTGTTGCATGTAAATGTTGCTTTCCAGATGTCCCAGTTGCTCCAGCTTTTTACCAGATCCCAGTGCCCTCTAGCTTAGCTATCTTGTATGCAGCATTCTAGTCAAGTCCAGTACACATTTATTCATTTTTTTAGGTTCTTGCCTCGGGTTGCTTTCATACCGTATTGTGGCATTTTGATGTCTGTTTTTCCTTTGCACTTTGGTGCTCATAATTTGGAGCTTATTAAAGTTTTTCCTTCAGTGTTATTACTTCAAGGATGCTTAGCACTTAGTTTGGCATTGTATTTTTCATTGATGCTCTTAGCAGGCTGGCATCTGAATTAGGCATCTGAATTAGGGTGCTTCAGCACCAGTTTTTACAAAGTAGCTCTGTGGCATACTGTGTTGAAGCTTACTTCAGTACGTTTTGATTTCTATATTATTGATACAACAGAAGCTGGTAAGATAATCATGTAATATCCATGTGGTTGCTAAGAATGAGTTGTATTCTCGTAAAAGGGGGAAGGGGTGATATATTATTTGAAATACTGTACAATTAAGTGTAGTGATATTAATAGTATCAGTAAAACGAGGGCACTGCACTGGTAACAAGGTTTTGTACAGCTAGAGTAATGTTTCTCAACCAGTGGCATGAGTACCCTTAGGGGTACTCGAAAGAAGTCTGGGGAGGAGGGTACGTCAACACAACTGAAATTTGGAGAAAACTGAATTTTTAGTTTGTTTTACAGCACTTTACTATTTTTGTACTTTTTACACCCAAAAATGTCATCACCTGCCCAGCCACATCGCCCACCCAGAAACGATTAAACAAATGTGTTGCAATGGTAGAAAAAAATGTATGTCTGAAAACTGCAGGTACTGGGGGTACTTATATATATATATATATATTTTAAAGGGGTACTTTATAAAAATAGGTTGAGAAACCCTGATCTAGAAGACAAATACTTGAGTGCCTTAATTATAGCCTCTGTTGCATTGAGTAAACAAAGCTAACAGTGTTTTATCACTGCTGCCATTGTTCATTTGTACCATAGCAAATGGATGGGTTAACTTGATGAACATTACTCGTACTCAGGTTTTTTATTATATTACAGCCGGTCCCTGAGTTGTGAACGGTCGAGTTATGACCATTCGCATTTACGACCAAAGCTCCCATGGAGTGGTCATAAAGGCAGTCTCCAAGTTACGAACACGACCCACGCTTGTGAACAGTGCGGTCGCTATGTAACTCAATGGGGTTGGAGTTATGAACAGATCGAGTTATGGCCAAGTGTTTGGTCCGTAACTCCTTCATAACTCAGAGAGAGGTTGTATTTCTTATTATAAAACTCATTGAAATGATAACAAAGTGATGTACTCAGCACAGAGGCTGCCATAGTTACAATGCTGTTCAGTCACATTCTAAAATGGGCAGAATTTTGTTAGTGTTTACATGCTGCTACTCATATACTGACGTGATCTTTGTGATTTTGATATGTATGATTTGCGACAAAAATAGTTATATGCTTAATTTCTTCCTGAATTACAAATTCCTCTAATTCTACAGCCAAGTTCTAAAAATGCTGATATTGGTTTGGCAGTTTGACCTGAATAGTCAAGCTCAAAAGCAGCTCATGCTTTCTCATACGCTGAGTTTGAATGGCCTTTTTTGCTTTACAGAGAGGCTGCACGTGAGTGTCGCAGGAAGAAGAAAGAATATGTGAAATGTCTCGAAAACCGAGTGGCTGTGCTTGAAAACCAAAACAAGACACTGATTGAGGAGCTGAAAGCACTTAAGGACCTGTACTGCCACAAATCAGATTAATTTTGGATCCCATTTTTCCTTGTCAAAGTGGGATACAGACTGGTTTTGCCCACAACCAGAAAGACAAAGTAAACTTTTTATTTTCTAAACATTTCTTTTTTTCTATGCGCGAAACTGCCTGAAAGCAACTACAGAATTTAATTCATCTGTGCTTTGCATTAAACTGTGAATGTTCAAACATTTCCTCCACTGCTCCTCCCAAGAGGTTATTTTCATCACCAACCATCCTGATCATGAAGAAGAAGAAGAAAAAGAAGAAGGAGGAAAGGCTTCTTTCTCATGCCCCCCATCATTGTCAAGAAGTAATCATGTTCATTTGTGAAGACTTGGGGAGGGAGACTGGGTTCTTTTGTATGATTTCCAGAGTGTGTGCTGACCTTTTTGATTGCCTTAGGGACAGAATCACCCTCTTGGCCTGAAGTACTTTGTGGACCACATATATATAAAAGTAGGTATGGTGCAGTGAAGATGCAATGATTGCCAAATTGATACATGGTTTCACATAGTCATTATAAACAGTACAAATACATGGCTGAGTGGCATGCCAAGCGAAGGCAGCGCCATATACAGATTCTTAGTGTGGAGATAATAGAAAAATATTAAACTATCGCAGGTGGATTTTTGGAGTGTCATCTATAATCTCTCTGCCTTCTAGATTGATAAAAGCTTCTCCATACTTCAGAGACCATTTCATTGAAGCTAGGTCCATTATGGGTCACTTGTTGCTTCTTGAAGCAGGTGTATGTGTGTCTGTGTCTGTCTGTGTTCAATATTTTGAATACACTCAAATAAATCACTGAGTGAAGCATCTTAATATTGGATAGGAAATGAACTCAAGTACACAAAGGTACAATAGCGAACAGCTTCTGTTTAGAAGACAGTTATATAGTAAACAAGAGTAATGCTTGGAGCCCTACCTGTTTTTATCCAGCACAACTATATCACCAACTCCATGTATAAATTCATTGATGAACATGGAAATTCCTCTGAATATCTCATCTCTTCTCAGACAAGTAGGTTATCTTCATTGCTTTATGCTGAACACAGGTTTGTTAAATTATTTTTTCAACCCCTGAGGTCTCCCTGTATACTTAAAATTCATCTTTGGAAGACAAGTTCAAATATGAGGAGTATAAATGTTCCCTGCTGAATCCCACTTTTAGGGGATTTTTAGGGTAAGAACTGTGTTTGGGGAAAATATTGACTATGAACCTACCCATCCTAACCATAAATGTACATAATTTATTCAATGGATGGTTTTAATGTAAAGAGCCAGATCCAGCAAACTCTTTACTTATTGAGTAAAATTACTCACATGCATCAAACGTTTGCAGGATCAGGCCCTTGCGTATGCACTGAGGGAATAGCTATTTTCCCCAGAAATACATGACAAGAAATAGTAGATGTAATCATGTTCACAATAATGAACTCTGTACTCAGCAGTAGGATTTCCATTGTGTGTCAAAATAATCATGCTTGGTTTGTGTATTGGCCCTTCAAAGCCAGATTGTGATGTTTTAACTTGGTCATTTGATAAAATATGTTTGCTCTGGACCTCAGGTCCTGGTTATTATTTCAAGCTTTGTGTATATACACATACACGCAAGACTATGGTCTGTACTAGTACCTAGGCTAAGTACTAGCTAGTATTTTTTCTTGTTCACTTAATCTGTTTAAAAGTAAAATTTCTAATTTAAGATCATTTTTAATGGTGAGACAGCTGCCAAGGTGGCATTAGAATAAAAAACACTGAGAGGACTGTAAACAATTGACTAAGAAAGCTGTTAGCAGTATTAAAAGTTATGGCTTTCTTATTTGAGACGGCATTTGGTTTCCAAGAGGTTTAAGAAAGGTTTAAGATTAAACTTGTAGCATTATTGTTTAATCTAGGGTCAAGATTAACTTCAGGTCAAGTTTTGTTTGATGTCAAATTAAACAGAATTGTAACATGAGTATCAGGATAATGAAAGAATAAGTTTTCAAATCTAAGATTGTCAAGCAGTTTTTATACATAGCCTATTTTTATCTGCAGTAGAGGATTGATTTTCCTTTTTTATTTTTTTTAATTAAGATGTCACTTTATATGATGAATGATGCAAACTTGAAGAAAGCCCCTAAATTCTCAGATGTGCTTTTATTAAAATTGGCAGATTCTTAAAGATGGAGAATACATACATTGGAGTGAATTTATCCCTTCCCCCACTCAAGACAAATAGTTTACTATAAATGCATGGCATTTTCTCAGAATTCCTGCTAGAAGCAGAATTCCTGCTACTGCAGGAGTGGACTACTGATTTGCCTCATTTAAACAATTATGTGTTAATAAGAGAATTTTAAAAAGCTGTAAATACTCTACATGAAGCAGGATGTTTCTCACTATAGAGCCATCAGTTTGCAAAAACTTGGGTTTTGTGGTGAACCTGCATGAAATTAGTTGATCTCAGTTCTGTTCCTTTTAGATAATTGGCACTGATTAGCACCTTTTGTTGATAGTCTCTCAGCAGAGAGAGACCAAGAACTAAATAGACTGTGGAGACAGATCTGTTAGACCTAGAGGTGCTCCTTCAAGGACAAAGTGGAATCATATTCATTGGGCAAGGTGGAAAACCTCACCTTGCTAATGTCCATGCTGTACAAGTCCTGTGGATAGAATCTTCAGAGTTACCAATCCAGACCCTCATCAGCATTAAAGTCACATACACAAAAATAATTAAAAAATCTTATTCTAAAGTACCCAAAGATGGACAAGAATCTATTTTTGTGCATGCAGCACTGAGGACTTGGGTTTTTAATAGAAATGAAATAAGTCAGCAATGAAGATTATCGTATTAGAACAAGTACAGGGTTGAATTTACCAGTTCATGCTTTTATTATTCACAATGGCCAAAAAGAGAAAGAAGACAATACCAGAATCCATTCAGATGTCATTAACTTACTGAGAAGCAAATAGCAAGGGGTAGGAGGAAGTCAGCTTTTATAAATTAGGGCCATTTTGCTGTAGAACAGAAATTCTGCTGAAATTAATGGGAGGCTTGTTTTATATCTCTGTTGTAAGCTTTCAAGCATTGATAGCCTGGTTTACCTGAAGAGAGGTTAGAAAGGGCTAGATCCATTATGCTCATAATAAACCAGAATTGATTTCAAATATAATTTTTGTAATGTCATTATTTTGCAAAACAACAGCACCAAGCAGGCAATTAAGTTATTGTCAAAGGTGCTCTCTTAATTTAGATATTCTTGAAAAAAATATGTATAATATGTACATATATATATATATATATATTCACACACAGTATATAATCTACAGCTCTGAGAGCTTTTAAGTCAGGAATGCTGAGTATTATAGTATATTAAGAACAGAAACAATTTTTACTTTTGTGTGTGTGGGAGTGTGTGTGCATGTGCGCGCAAGCTTACTCTTTTCAGTAGGTTTGGGCTGCATTATTCAAACACTGATTTTTGTGCTGTTGTTCAGTTATCAATTTTCAAGGATTTTATTTCATTCTTCAAGGCCATTGTGTTTTTCTTAGATGGAGATTTTGAAGTAATTTAAACGATTGTTTAAAAACGTTCTCTCCCCTCCTCAAAATTATTCACTTTTGAGCTTTGTCTCTTTGGCAGCTATATAAAATAGGCAAAAACAATTGGAAGGGTTTTTACTAAGAAACCATTGGTAACACTTCTTTTTTTTAACTCATGGGGTAGGGGTTATGCTTTTTATTTGACCATTGATTTCACTAGATTTGGAGAGTTGCCAGTAGCATTGCTAGTTTCTGAAAGCACAATTCCAGCCAGCCATGCTCTTCAGGACAAAGTCATCTGTAGGCGTTTGATTGTTCTATAGTTTGTCTTTGTGTCTCAGACCTACTGGCTTGTCTGGTACTAAATGTTGACCAGAAAGGTGTTCGAATGTTTGGAACTGTATGAAGACTCAGGAAAAAAATAAAGTTGATTTAACAAGGAAAAACCACCCTATACATAATATTTCTGATCTAAATTTGTACTGCCATTTTTTAATCTGGGCTTCCAGTAGACAGCAGCTGCAGGCAGTCATCTGTTAATTAAAACTGGTCTCTGCTTATTTTTAAAAAAGCTAGCCAGTGCTTTTTTCAGGTTAAAGCTAGAACAAGTACACTTTAACATGAGTTCATCATCAGTGGTCACAAACCGTTGGCACTTATAGGAGGGTTTTTCTGTGTTTCTGAGGCCCTGTTTGTATTGCCATTTTTTGCCCTGAGAACAGTAAGTGACATAACATTCGCCAATGACCTAAAGGAAAGGTTGTATATTTATTTTTGTTACATGATATGCTTTGTAAATGTTTGATAAAATGTGCACTTTTACAAAAAGAAATAAACCTTAGAACAATTCTATATTAATTTTGCTTGAGAAGCGCCCTGATATGGTTATTTGTGACTCTCATTCCTCTCCACAAATCCACTGACTCTTTCATGATGAACTTTCAGCATGAAGCCTGTTAGCATCTGACTTTTAGCAGGTGCTACTTAAAAATGACAAGGGATCTGAACCGGCAGTACCAACTAGATCATCAGGGTATAGTGTAAGGACTCCATTTTGTCTCTTAGGAACACATATGGGATGCATGTTAAATTCTTTTTAGACAAAACAACTAGTTCAAAGACCTCAAGTGAGAAAGGGGAATTAATTTAGAAGGGAAACCTAAATTTTTTCAGTCCTCTGTTTTAGATCTAGCTGCATACTACAGGTGCTGCATTTTCCCACCTGCTCCCACCCCCCAAAAAAACAAGAACAAATGCAAAAGGATTTATAGATTCTAGGTACCAGGAAATGAAGGCACATCTAATGATAACTCTCCCATTCAGCTACCAAAGAAAGAAAGAAAGTACAACTAACTCTCTCTCACAGTGGCAAGAGGTGAGTTAATGTCTTAGCTCTACACCCTGAGTTGTTGTAATGTACGCTTTTCATTATGTCCTGTAAATTCACAGTTTGTGTGGCCTGTGACTAAGGACTGATTTCCTTGATCTTCTGAATGTGCTAGTTATAAAAAATACTGATCCGAGAAGGACCTGAACATGTAAAGCTTAGCTAGTTTGGGACGATTCAAACTAATATATACAAACATGGTCCTGAAGTTCCACCTGTCATTTGTTCATGGTAGATTGAGCTCAGCTTAAATATTTCTGTATCTTTAGGGAAGAGGGACGAGATTCAGTTTGTAAAAAGAGTTTGTATTTCAGGTGTTCCAGCTTGGAATGCATTTTTAAGTGGATTGGAATCATAGCCTGTGAAGAGAAGTAAACTGGCAAATTTGTCTAGCACAGATTAAAGACCTTGACTTGTCTACATGTCTGGTACTGCAAGTGCAGGTCCCAGCTGCAGTTTTTGGCTTGCTGTATAAGATGGTAACTTTAGATCTCATTCTCACCAGCAAGAAATAAGAAAAGTTAACAGTCCTCAGGAGATGTCCCTTGGGCCGGAAAGAAAGAGTGGGAAAGGAGCTAATGATCCCCGGTTAGCGTGTTTAGCATAAGCTGACCATTTGCTGTACTTCAAGTTGGAAATGATCAGAGTCAATTCATTGAGTCTCAACCTCAGGCAGCATTTCTGTGAAGTTAGGCAAAATCTGGGACCATCTGCAAATGGTCCAGATTAGAATCAGCAACAGCAGGATGCTCTACCGAAGTTGTATTTTATCCAGGAGCCACTCCATTTTGTGTGTATAATGAAATTATTTATATTTAAAAAGAAGCAAAATTATAGAACTGCAAATTTGTATGAAATTTAACATTCTACTTCTTACATGGACTTTCTGGGGTGAAGAAGGGCAGAGGCAGAGAGAGGTGCTAACTAGCAACTGTTCCCACTTGTCCTCTGCAGACTTGTCCACATATCAGTTGTTCATGTCAAAAATAAATCATTTCTAGAACAGATTTATAATTTGAAATATTTTTAGAAAAATGTTTTTCAGGGAGGTTTCTGGAACAAGAATTATTATTAACTAGTGTTATTTTTTTAATTTAAGATGGAGAGGGTAAATCTCAACTCACTCATTTCTGATACTTTACCCAAAACTATCAGCACAAAACAGGGTATTTCAACCTTAACTCCACCATTTGTGTTAAAATGCTAAACAAAGAAACCTTGATGTGGGAAATAAGTTCCTATTACAATTCCCTATATTCTAGAAATGTCCCTGTTTTAATTTTTTTACTTAATCTTTTTGTGCTTTATCTGTGTTTTAAAAAATTGTACTGAGTTATAATGCATTTTATTAACACTATGTACATATTAGCTGCTTTGTGTTTCAGAATGGTAGTAATTGCTTTGTATATTAAAGTGATCCTTGTGAATTTGTGAATTACTATCATAAAGAAGTGCTTTTTCTTACTGTAACCTTTGTGGATAAACTGTCATAACACCTTTTTACACAGACATTGATGTGCAGTCACATAAACATGCTTTTAAAAACTCAACAAAGTCTCTTGTTTGAGGAAGGGGTTCCATATAAAATGTGTTGGGGGCAGCGATAGGTAGGAACATAGTCTTACAATGGTCCATCTAATCCTGTACCCTATGTTCCACTGTAGCCTGTTTCAGAAGGAGGGGCAAGAAATCCTGTGGTAGGCTGTTACGGGATAATCTACCCACATTACTTCCTAATTTATTTTAAATTCAGCTGAGATTGGTTTATGTCCTCAAGCTTTCATATTCCTCCCGAAAGTGCTGGCCTTTTTATTTCTCAGCTTTTTTTTTTTTTACCTGCCATCATGATGGGCGTGATTTCTATGGGCTAATTTTGTGTTACGTTCATTGTATTGGGTTTAAATATGTTGCTTGTCAATGTATTTAACATCCCCTTGTAAAGTCTAAAATGATGTTTTAATGTAGTACTGTCCAAAGTAGTAATGGAGAGACAAGAGGAGTCGTTGAGGGGACTGATTTCCATTGATGAGAGAGACGAGATTTTGAGCTGAAGCAGAGCTCTGCATGAGCGCCACAGCTTGTTTCCCTTACCAACAGAAGCTGATCCAGTAGAAGATATGACCTCCCCGCCCTTGTCTCTCTAATATCCTGGCCCCTGTGACTACAACAATATTGCAAACCAAGCAATGTCTAGCAGAACAACCCACAGCAGCACGGTGACCATGTGACTAGATTGGGTAAACTACAACTCAGGTCAGACTGTAGGGTTAAAATCCAGGGAACCAAATTCAGCACTACTGTAATGTAAGGAGATGCCTCTCCATTAAGGTCACTGCATGGCAGTGAAGTCCCCCCATCACCTTTCCATGGTTGGTTTTCAATTACCACAATTCCTTAAAGCAGGGGCAGGGGCTTTTTTGGGTCGGAGGCCACTGACCTACAATCAGGCCAGACATAAGTGAGGAGGAGACAGACACTCCCCATACTCCCCACCCACCCCAGAGTCAAGGTAGGCCCCCATTATGCTCCTGCCCCACAGTGGGTGGGGAGAGGAGGCTGGAGTGCTAGCCCGGCAATGCTAGATGGGCCTTCAGCCCTGGGGGCCAGATCCAGGAGCCTGAGGTTCCCCATTCCTGCCTTAATGTAACATTTTTCTTTACAAAACCCACCATCCCATCCAGGAGAGGATCACATCAGGGCTTACACCCCATGGCTGTGTCTAGACTGGCCAGTTTTTCCACAAAAGCAGCTGCTTTTCCGGAAAAACTTGCCAGCTGTCTACACTGGCCGCTTGAATTTCCGCAAGAGCACTGACGCTCTCATGTAAGATTGTCAGTGCGTTCTGCGGAAATACTATGCTGCTCCCGTTCGGGCAAAAGTCCTTTTGCGCAAAAGGGCCAGTGTAGACAGCTCAGATTTGTTTTGCGCAAAAAAGCCCTGATCACGAAAATGGCAATCGGGGCTTTTTTGTGGAAAAGCGCGTCTAGATTGGCCACGGACAGTTTTCTGCAAAACGTGCTTTTGCGGAACAACTTCCGTGCCAATCTAGACGCTCTTTTCCGCAAATGCTTTTCCATTAAAAGCATTTGCGGAAAATCATGCCCGTCTCGTAGACGTAGCCATACAGTAATTCCTCATTTAACACGGTAGATACGTTTCAGAAAATGATGGTGTTAAGTGAAAACGTGTTCCGCGGGGTCAATTTTCCCATTGAAAATAATGGAAAAGGTGGGGGTTGCGTTTCAAGCGGTGGTGTCAGTCATTTTTTTGTTGGTGCTGAGTCAATGTCAAAATTAGACTATGTACTGTACAGTAAAACTCCCAATAGGGCATCAGCTGGAACCCAGAAGTGCTCTGATCAGCCGCTCTCTCGGCAGGGCTGCTGAGAGCCGCACGTGCGCTCGTGGCTCCAGCCTGCACGTGTTAGCAGCCGGGACCTGGGGAAGGAGAAGGAAGGGGGTTGGGTCGGGAGTACAGTATGCCCCTGTGACGGGTCTGCTGGGACCTGAACTGAGTCCGGCAAGGGGGGAGGGGTCACCAGGGAACAGTGTGGCGAGTGGCGAACCCTCCGCGGCTTTGCAGGGAGGTGGGGGAAGCCCCACGCAGCCACTGGCGACAGGCCGGCTGGGGAAACCGTGTTATTTCAGGGACAGTCGTATTATTCAAAAACCGTTCCCCCCCCAAAAATCATGCTATCGCAAAAATGTGTTAAGTGGGCACGTGTTAAACGAGTAATTACTGTATAAAACTCCCATTGACTTTAATGGGACACTTATGGCAACATGTAAAACAAACTAGATTTC